AGTACATTAAGAACCCCTGGCATAATAAATATATAACTTTGGGATTCTATAGAGGTCTAATGAATAAATACAACATTTAAGCGCATTCCTGAGAACCTAGTCTAGATTCACTTGATACACTAGATAAGCTCACTATTAGTGGGTTTGCTCTGTATGGCTGAGTTAATGGTGAGTGCTTAAAATCACACCTAATGCTTATTTACTCAGTACTCAAAGAATAGTCTGAGTGATGACTCTATGTGTAGTTGGAAACCCCATATCTATAAAGATGTATTTGAAAGCTTTAAAAATTCTTACTAAACATTAGAATTATATAATTTTTATTTTTATTGTCTGTCCTTTTAAACTCACCTGATCACTATATGGCAGGACTTTGTTTTCATTACAACAAATGAATAGCATAATTATCCTATACTTTTATACTACATGGTCTGGGGAAAATTAATAAAAATCATAATTGTGCTGTGTACAAAGTGAAATATTCCAACACATAGCTCGGCAGTAACAATTTGGAAATTAAAAAGAAAATTCTATTCCCTATGTATGCAACTTCTGTGTTTATGACTTATCAGTGGTATATCTTAAAACATTTTTCTTTTTAATGCAAGGGTTAGCAACTTGATGGGAATCTCAGTTTTGTTGAAAACAAAAAATTGGAAATACCTATTTTTCAAAATGTTTCTGAAACGAGCTATTTAGATTTAGTTTTTAGGAAGAATGTTTCAAAAGGCTTTACTGGGCTTGTCAAATACCTCACTTTACCTCAATATTCTTGTAGATGGTTGGGAAAGATGGGATAATGTCCTTGTTACACTTTGACCAATGAAATTTTAAATCAGTTTTATTAAGAGTATAATTTACATAGAATAAAATTCACCACTTTTAAGCCTACAGTTCTATTGCATTTTGACAAATGCTTAAAATTGCACAATCACCACCAAAGTCAGGATATGGAACATTCCCATCACCCCAAAATGTTTCCTCATGCCTACTGTAGCCAATTCCTTTGGCAGGTTTCAGGCCCCTGATCTTTCTGTTATTACGCTTTACTTCTGGTAGCTGGGTAAATACCTAGGACTGAGATTGTTAGTGTGTGCTTCACTTTATAAGAAACTGCAAACTGTTTTTGAAAGTAACTGTACTACCAGTAACCTATGAGTTAGGGTTGAGAGCCTCATCGAAGCTTGCTATCATCACTAATTTTTTATTTTAGCTATTTTATTGGGCATGTGTTGTGGTATGCATTGTGGTTTTAATTTGTACTTATCTAACTATTAATATTGTTGAGTGTCTTTTCATATATTTATTTGCCATTGCCATGTGCTTAATTTGCTTCAGTTGCCATTCTTTGCTGAAGTTTGTTAAAATTTTTGCTCATTTAAAAAAAATGAGTTACTTACCTTCTTATTATTGGGTCTTTATATATTCTAGATCAATTATTTGTATAATGTGATTTTGATATTATCACGTTTTTCATATATATTTTTAAAAACTTGGAGCCACAGATTTAGCTCATCTAATTTATGGAAAATGTCCTTCATATTTCCTAACTGGCCAAGCAAAGGCTCCTTTCAAACCAATCAGTCAAATCAGGAAAAAAACCTGACTTCATTGTTCTACTCTAACCAATATATCAATATGAGTCTTTGTGTCAGTCCCCTCACATCTGAATTCCAATTCCAATTCCAATTCCAATTCCAATTCCAATTCCAATTCCAATTCCAAGATAAGTAAGTAAATGCTTAGGCATTTGCCACAAATTTGTCATCCCTTGGTTGAAAAAAAAAAAAGTATGTTCTTTCAATATTTCAAACCAATGCTCCTTTGTTGGCTCTCACAGGATTATGTTCAAGAGTAATATACTTAAGATACTTTTTTGGTGTAAATAGGTGAGGGTGGAAAATTGTTATTAGAAATAAAAATATTAATGGAAAATTGTCTTCACTCTCATTCACTTTATAGTATTTCTATATTCAAAATATTCCAACACAGGTGAAAATACCCCATTTTAAAATTCTTAAAGAGGTACGTATAAAACTGAGAAAGATAAGAAGCCTTTCTCAAACGCCAATATTTTGGGTTGTTCCTTTAATTGGCGTTCAAAGTCTTTCCATCCTGAGCCAATGAACCATAATAAGATTAGGGATGATGAGGGTAAGGTATTCCTTTATTAAGGGGAGAATCCTGCTATAAAGAGTATGTGAGAAAGCAGAACTCAGGGCAGCTCAAGCCTTTTAAGCAGGTCAATTTTCGGGAAATCATACAAATGGAAGTTAAAGAAATGGACAACATAGCCCTTGGACAACTTCAGGAACTCCCAGTGATATCCATACCACAGTTTTGTTCTAAATTAATGTGGATTTTAAAGGGGTAAAGGCTTGAGAGGCAATAGGATGTCACATATTCCAAAGAAGAGAAGTTGTTTTCTACCGGAAGAGAGAGTTTTCTAGATGGAAAACAGTGATGTTTTTAGTCAAATGAGGTTCATAACCTGAATTTCTTCAACTCTTGTTAATGAGAAATTTTAATGCCCTGACACCATGCCCAGGGCTGGGGATCGAGCCTGCAACCCTTTGATATACTGGCCAATGCCCTAACCACTGAGCATACTGGCCAGGACTCACTCTCCACTTTTTTAGAGGGGCTGCTGGTAGTCTTATTTATAAGTACACATAATACTTTTCTTATTACTGTGAATCAGCTATCATCATTACACCATATTTAAGTCTTTGATTAATTCCCCCCTCATATGGTTTTCTTGGGGACAACCTCAATCTGTATCAATGGGAGACCTAATTATTAGAGTATTTAATTAAGAGTTTCTTTTAGGTACTTTTCAAAGAACAATTTAATATTTGAGAAACTTTACCTTATTTGTATCTCTAGAAATTAATAGTGAAGAAATCTTGACAGTTGTCACAAAGACTCAAATAGACCAAACATTACAAAAATTATTTTCATTTATTCAAGCCTTTCAAATAAAATATTCATTTAATATGATACTCACAGAGGCAATAAAATACATAATTTATTCAGCTTTTCAAAGTCATTTAAAAATAGAGAGCTGTCATTTTAAAAAGCTCAGCTATTTTTCTTCCCTCTAGCACATTAGGGAAAAAAACACACACACACAACTCAAGACACCACATCATGTAAGAAAGCCAAGTTCTGTCACATTCACATATCTTGATCAACAGGGAGAAAAAACCTGCTTGCTGCAGCTGCTGGCATCCAGGCCCTTGACTTTGTGTGTGTGGGAATTATGATATGAATTCACAGCGTGTCTTTAGTGCACCTGCCTGTTGTCTGTTTGATGAGGAAAGTGTGGGAGGTACTTCACAGATAGATGGAAAGTCTTCTTTTTGCACTGTTGGAAGCATATTCTTTGACACTCCCTGATAAGAAAATCTGTGCCACCGTTTCCCTAACTATCCTTTAATAAAAGTCCCTTGTCCCTTGTAATATATTTGCCTAATGATGGAAAAAATACAGGCCTTATTCAATTGTAAATGTGCATTTTGTATAAAAAGGTATAAATATTAAGGCACTGCGTAGCAGAATCCCTCCCCCCCATTGAAAGCTAAATTAAGCTTTGATATTCATGTTCCCATAACCCCTAGGTACACCAGCAGATCTGAACTCACATTATCTAAAAGCACAAGGCCCTTTGGAGCCAAAACATTTGAAAGGGAGTCAATGAAGCAGCAAAAATGTCCAAATGGAAAATGGAACTAAACCATTGTGAGCTGAGTTCAGAATGTGCCTGCATCTTGCTGGGAAATGAGGGGAATGAAATTAGACGCTATCATTGAGAACCCAACACTCAGCCAGTTGTTTCCCTCCTGCCCTAACAGCCTGCTACCATTGAGCAAATCCCCCTTGCTTCCTCCTGTTAACCTACTTACAGCACTCAAGAACTCATGCGGCAATGCCCTTCCTACCTCCGGGCCCTGGGCCTGTTCTCTTTTTCCTCAAGTACCGTTTAATACTCACTTCCTCCATGGCTCTCTGACTTCATTCTTCTTATTGCTATTTACTTCTACTTATCTACTTGACTCTAGCCATGCATTCATTTGGGTTTCTGTCATTTGTGCTTTTCCACGTCTTCGCCATTGTCTCCCATTGAATTGAATTCACCCAGTGCAGTAGCGATGTTTCTCCCAATACTTCTACTGTCTTTGTGCCTCTTGCCACCTCCCCAATCCATGATGCCTACTTGGGGCTTTGTAGGAACTGAACAGCTGTGATATTAGCCAATGTGGACCTGCCTCATGCAGACAAACCTTGGGGAAGTCCCTCTCCAGGGCTTACAGAATGCTTTGCCAAATTCAACTCTTCTTTTAAAGGAAAAAGTCTAGTGAGTGTACAAAATCATTAATGAGTATGGTCGTGATTCTAATTTGGTTACTCAATTCTTATTAGTGACGCTTTTCTCTTATTTTTGCTTTTGGATTGTCACTTAGAGAAGTGACAATTTCTGTATTTTTAAACACAGGAGGTCAGATATTTGCCCATGTTATACTACAAAGTTATATAAATAGGTTGCAACATTTTCAAAATAATAATATGTCAGTAGAAGACATTCGTTTCAGTCTTTTTACAATCATAAATACTGGAGAAAAATCTTAATCACCATAAGAATAATCCAGTGGATCTATTTTAACACACAAAAAGTCAGGTGCTCATCTCTGAGTTATGAGATTCTGGGTAAGAATTCAGTTCAGGTTCTCAGTGTTATCAGGGTTAGTTGAGGTTTGAGGATATTGTTTTTGGCATATTTCGAAGACACAAAAATATTTATATACACATAAATATTTGTCACATTAAATATTTGGACCACCAGTCACTTGGTACCAAAACCAATAAATATATGGATTCAATTGGAATTTAAGTTTTCACTTTAACTTTTTTCCTGGCAAGTATCCCATAAAAACAAATAATTAAATATTGTTACAGCTGAGGAATGTTCTTTAGAATTCTTCTTTTTGTCCACTTTGTGTCTACTCTTCATGCGGTTGAAATCCTTCATTCACCTTATAGAGTGATGACTCGGGAATTGTTTCGTTGTTTTTGCTCTCTGAAAATTCCTTATTGTTTTTTCCATAACATTTCTTATATGACAAATAAACTAGAAAAAAGACATGGGAGGTTAAGCAAATTTTATAATAATTATCTACAAACTTACTTTGGACAGTGATTGTAAGCTATGGCTCACAAAGCAGTTTGCACATTCTGTAGGCTGGAGGCTACTTAGAGCAATCACCATTCCTAGCTCCATGAACACCCAGGGTAAGAGGGACGACTGACCTTTAGGAAGACCTAGCATACAACCATATAGGATATTTGCTCCCATGACTTATGCAGGTGGTACTCACCAATAGCAAGAGTAGCATGTATTTATTCCATGCCTACCACCTCCCAGGTAATGTGCTAGTCCTCAATAATTATATTACATGCGGGTGATGTCCAGGACCTTGGCCTAATGGTCTGTGTGGGAGGACTTGAGCTGGAATAACCACCCATCCCTTCTAGCCTTCATTCATTAGTTCTCATGAGGAGGAGAGGTTGACTGATTGGTGGTCAGCCTTCCTCTCTTCCATGGAGCTGCTAGTCTCTGGTGGCAGCAATTTCTCAGCATATTTCTAAGATCAGCTCACCTGAACAGACTTCCCTTCAAGGGGACACCTGCAGTTTATGTGTGTATATGTGTGTTATGTGCACATGTGTGAGGCAGTGGAAAGGGGTGGTATTAACAAGCCCATTAGGTCAGTTTCGAGCCATGTTTTCTAATTGTTTTATCTGTAATAAAAGTGCTATTTTGCTATCTACATATCTGATTTTTTTCTACCTCTTAATTGGTTCCAAAGTCCACAGGGGAAGAGAAGGTCTTATTTACTTTCAGATTCCAGTACCTCATACTTAAAATTGGTAAAATAACATTGTCTACCTCATAGGGTAGTTGTGAACATAATTTGGGATAAAATAGTAAAGTACCTAGCCTGGCCCTAGGAGAATAGTAAGTGCTCAGTAAATATTAACTATCATTATGATACACAGCTGAGAAAGGCATTGTCCTGCTAGAAGATCTTAATATGTCAAGATCAATATCTCCTTAGGTTGGTCCCTGCACTTAAGTAATATATCAGATTTGAAGCCACTGAGCTATTGAACCTATTGAATTGAGCTTGTGGTTAATTAAAATATACCAACACTTGTATTATAAACACTTGAGCTAGGATGTCCTCAACTTATACTTATGTCACTGATTTTATTTAACCAAAGTTTATTCCTTTCTTTCTTTCCCT